CAGGGAGCTCCTACTTTCCTAGAGAACTCTATAGTAAACAGTATTATTGACGAATATTGTAAAATTTATACAAATTTCTAGTAGAATTTTAAACAACTACTCTGCATTGCCGTACAACTGTTGTGAACATCTTTTACTACATGTTCTGTGAGAAAATTGAATATGATATCTTGTTCAGTCGAGGGCTAAGCGAGTCGAAGCGACGAGCGTTACTTGTTTTTTAATTGTATTCTTCACTGTTGTTTGCTTCTTTTTTTATATATTTATTCATTATTCAGTAATAATAAAATTTATCTATTAAAAATATCCTTTATATTATGCATTTAAATTAATTCCGATGTTAGCAAGTAAAATAAAAATCGTATTAATTTGAACAATAGCATGATTTGCGTAGCAAGTATGTGATAAAAAAAGAATAATAAGTGGCTGACTCATGTGCAACTTTTGCCCAATATTAATGAGAGAGAGAAAGAAAAGGACAAAATAACGACTCACTTCTCTCTTCTTTCGCCAACCCATACACATATTAAGGGAATCTTCATATCCAATCGATGGAGATAAAAAAAGAAGCGTTTTTCTTTTTTGTCATTCGTATGTAATTTTATAATTAAACAAATTGAAGCAATAACAACAGATAAAGAGATTGATAGAAAAAAGCAAAAATCAAAAAAAAAGAAATATGTCGAATCATAGACATAGCTAAAAGAGAACATAAAAGGAAAAAAAGAAAATTCTTTGAATTATAGAGATTACATAGAAAAGCAATTGGACTTATTATGAGACATTATGTATATTATTTTGTTCATTTTATTATTGACAAAAAAATCGATCATATTTTTGCGTTATTTATTTGTTAAAATACATATAAAATCTTCGCAGTTACATCTAAATGGAAATAGAAAAATGAATGAAATTATTTTTTAGAAAAAAGCTTCTAGCTAAATACAAACTGTTCATCAGCATCAATACCATATTTATCAAATACATGACATGTTTCATGTATATCATCGTCTATTTTCTTTATTATTTATTCTTTAAAATTTTGTGCTACTTTGACAAATATTTCAAAAGTCAATTGTATGACTGATTTGTTGTTGAATTTCTTGTACATCGGTTTCTCATGGTAATAAAACATGTGGATGAAGAGTAATACTTAAAACTGATAAAAACTATTGTCATTGTTTCATCAAAATAAAACAAACATTTTCACGTCGAGTTCTTATGATCTCTATTAAAAGGTGAAAATGCTTTATGACATTGACACATTTTATTAAAACCACCGGATCTTGTTTGAGTTTTTATTTTAATCAAATCAAAATAAACATGACATAATTCTAAATGGTGAATAAAGAAAAAAAACAAATAAGTTTTTTCTTTTCCAGAAGAAAAACAAGAAAAATAAAAAAAAACAGAATTATTTTTGCTTTATTAATTTCGATGATAATCTAAATATTGTAACTTCTATAATAATATGATTTTCTTATTTTTTTGTCTTTTACTTACATGACTACACCAAGCTTCGAGTTTAACAATTGATGTTTGTATATTAGCAAATTGCTTTTCAAAATCATAAAATTATTTTAATCGTTTCTTTTAAATAACCTTAAGAAGTTATTTCTCGATCAAGTTTCTTATTCAATTCAATAAATTTATTTTTATCATTAATAATAAGTGATTCAACAGCAGATACTAGATAAAGAAAAAGAATATTATAATATGTTATTTTTAAAAATTCACAAACCATTATCTTTATTCGACATTGTTTTTTTGAATTGACTTGCAGTATGAAGCATTCAACAAAAAAAGAAAAATCATACATAAGCAGGTAATAATTCGTTCGAATGGCTATCGTTAAATTAGCACATGATTCACTTATTTTATCATTAAAGAAATTAGTGTATGTTAAATAAGAGAATTCGATTTTTACATATTTCAATGATAATTATATTATGATGTATATGCTTTGTTGATCATAGTATTTTGTTCTTTACATTTGTCAATAATTTGAAAATATAGACTAAAATAATTCAAAAGAAGTAACAGATTTATCGGAATTGGTTTTTTTAATAAATAAAATACATTTCTAACATACAACATAAAATTTAAGAATAAAAAGAATTTTAGTCTTTTTTTTTCTTCAAAACTCTACCTTACTCAAATATCTTATAAGCAAGATCTTATCAAGATCTTTAAAAGATAATTTGTTTATCTATATATTGATCGTATCAGATAAATCTGTATCCAAGATCTTGACAAAATCTGTTCAAAGATTTTCACATGTCAAGATCATGAAAAAGAAATACTAGTTTTTATTATTTTTTATACTTTTCAAAACTCAATCATATAAACTTGTGAATTTCATAGATATGTGAGAAATTAGCAACAATGGAGGTACTTGCGACCCAATAAAATTAACGTTATGAAAAATAAAGAGGGAAAAATAAATCATTCATAGAAAATTTGTAGGGTTTGAACGGAGGTTTTTAGACTAATCTGGTTTGTATTCATGGCAGATTGCACTGTAAAAAAATAAGACACGTGAAGTGTATTAACAAGACAGCTCGTTCGCTTATACAAGAGACTTTGAACTAATTCTGATTGGCTGATATAACTCTACTTTAGACGCTTCAAGTGTCAACGGATGACCGATTTTAGACACTCGAGCGTCTTACTCGCTTCTGGTTGGTTGATCTGTACCTGTTGGAGAAGTGTCTTGTTTTCATCTTTTCTAGTCACTTCAGCTGATCTGAGATCTATAGATCCTAGAAATAAATGAATTAAGAATGAAAAGAAATTTTTCACTGAGTAAATTTTTAGAAAAAAAATGTGGATTTTGAATCTACCAGAATGAAACATTTTCAAGTGTAATTTAATCGTTAAAAAAAGCTTTAAAGATTAAATCACACGTGAAAATGTTTCATTATGATAGTATAAAATCTACATTTTTTTTTCTAATACTTTGCTCAGCGAAGAATTCCTTTTAACTCTTAAGTCATTCATTTCTGGAACCTATAGGTCTCAGATCAGCAGAAAGGTCTACGAAAAACTAATGCAGAAAGGGAACCAGAAACTGAAGGTTCAACCAAAAAAATGCTCGTGTAAAGAGAAAAATTGCTCAACTCAATTCGATCACTATTTTCCTAATTTGAAACATTTGCAGAAGAATTAATATTCAACAATGAATTTTCAGCGATGCAAATATCCATGATATTAATATTATCTACAAAAAAAAACTTATTTCAATAAAGATACGAAGAAAAGATCAAATAAATAAATTATATTTCATATCTGAATTGAATATATAATATTTGATACATGAATCATACTTGGTTCAAGAATGGCAAAAATATCAAATACACAGAAGAAATACATGAAAGTACATAACATGAATTTAATCAATTAGAAAACGACGAATGTTTAATATGTACACAGAAAAACTGTACCACCATATTTTAAGGTTTCATTTTGTTACATTGTTCAAGTAGCATTCGTAATACTGTATGATCGGGTAGAGCATTTAAGTTAATATATATCATCATAAGAATCGAAAGAACCTTATGTAAACCAGCATTTGTAATTGATAAAGACATCTTGTAGGGTATGTTTCGCACGAATAAAAATGCTCGTTCGAATTCATTTGTCAATGATGATGTAATGAGAACTCCAATCATTGGATGTGGATTAGATAGTCCGTTCTAAATAAATAGACAAAAGCAAGACATGATGAATAAAAGAAAACCTTTACTTTGAAAATCAAATTGTGTTGACCAGATTCTTCACATAACATTTTGACAATTAGAAAATCAGTTTCACTTATCTACAAAAGAAACGGACAAAGATAGAAGATAAATCTTCACAGAATACATACTTTTTCTTGTTTTTCTATTTTATATTTAGAAATAAAATCATCCAGTACTTTACGAGTTTCATGTTGCATTTCTTCGAATGAAAATATTTTATCTTTTAATAGCATATATTCAATGATCAGCTAGAAAAAAAAAGAGATATGAATTTTTTCAATAAATAAATCCAGTCATGATGTTGAATTCTAAAAACTATCGAACACAAAGCGTAAGAAGCAACGATAGAACTGAAAACTAGTACAAGAGAAAATCTTACGTACGGCATCTTCGTGAAAAATTTCTTGAAATTGGAGAGCCTTAATATAAAAATCATTGTTATTTTTTTCGAATAACATTTGACGCCGATGTTTATGAGTGCTTCGTATAAGTGCATGAATTTCACTAATAGAGCAATTGTTTGTTGATTTGTTCTTGGGTTTGATGATGGAACGAAGACGAGCAACATCTTTTTCATATGCACTTTTTTCAGAACTTGACATTTTTGGATACCAAATCTCCGAATTATTCTTCGTAATACATGATTGATTAACATTATCGATAGTAGATTCTAAAATATAAATAAATATTATGTGAAAGAAGATATATAACTTGCCAATCAAAATATTTTTTTGTGGATCTGTTGTTCTTGATATTTCTGTACGTGTACAATTATTATTTTCTTTCTTTTCTAAAAACAACAACGAAGATTAAGTTATTTTAGAAGATAAAAAGACCTACCTTGTTGTTTCTGGCATCCTCGTGGTATGATAGCTTTATGAACAGACACTACAGATTGCAATGGAACTAAAATATAAACATAAAAACAATGAAATACAAATGTTTCGAGTGACATTAGATTGCTATAGAAAATCTTGACTTCAAGTACAGACTTTTAATAATCTCTGGTAGTCTCTAATAGTCTTTGGTAGCATCTGCTAGTTCCTAGTAATCTATAGTGGCTTCTGGTAGTCTCTAGTGTTTCTGACATTCCTCAATAATCACAAGTAGTCTATAGTAGTCTCTAACAGTCCTTAGTAATTTTTAGTAGTATCTTCTAGTTTCTAGTAATCTTTATTAACTCTTTGGAACCTCTTGTAATCGTTTCTAGTGCATGGTAGACTCTGACAAATTCTTCAAATAATTCTATTTTATAACATATAAAAGTTTTGAATTATTTTGAAATTCGTTTGGGTCGTCACTTTTCATTCTGTAGAGTGAAACTGGCCACTTTTCTACTGCTGTGTAACGTATACAAAGTGAATCATCAAAACAGAACGAGCAAGCCATGAAACTACATTCTTTAGAATGTAATTCGACGACTATTGTTTTATGCCATGATTTGTACGGACTGCACTTAAATGATCTGGCAAGAAAAGAAAAAGAAACTATATAATTTTGTCACTAAAGGAGTTGATGATTCATCTCCTTGCTTTCTCTGTCAAATACATTGTCTATATTTTTCTTAAAGTTAAACAACTTACATGAATTGACGTGTATACGACCACTATGATAAATAATATTTGTTGGTGCATTTGTAGTGGTGATTGGCTTTATCATCGTCGGTTTAGTTAAAATAAATGGAGTATTAATAGATGATGAAGTTGATGCAGCTGATAAACTTGATTCAGTTGATGGAGTTACCAAGGAGATTGTTGCTCGTCTAATATTGTTCGATATTGTTGATGGTCTAGTTGGTGTCTTTGCCGGTGGAACAGTTGCAGTAGATTTTTCTAAATGAAAATGCATGAAGTCGAAATTAGGACAAATAAAACATGTTTTGTTCTGATTCAAAATATTCACCACATGGATCAGGTAATGAAGCTAATGTTTCGTTTACATTTGATTCATTCAATAATTGTTCGATCGAGCTTTTGTTGCACAAACCTATCAATAGAAATCATATTTTTATATTTGTTACATTCATCCATGCAAATTACTACTTTTATTATATTCGACCACCAGATTATGCGCTTTTTCTTCAACTGTTGTATCTTCAGCTGTTGTATCTTCAATAGCTATGTTTTCATTTGTTTTCTCATTTGAACTTGTGTCGAGTGTACATAATCGCGATCGTTTAGGTGTTGGATGATTTTTCGTATATTTAATATTTCGTTTCTTTCGAGAAATTAGACGAGATATTGTATGCTATCAGTTGAAGAAAATATTTGTTGTATGAGAATTTTCTTTGTAATTTTGTAGGATATTTCGAATAAACTTACATTTGGTGCTCTCCCGTCAATCCCGTCGACATTTTTGTTTAAATAATTTAATGATGGAAACTTCTGCGTGAGAGCTAAAACGAATGAATGGTGAATTTTTCGTGAAATACAATCAGGATATTGCTGAATAAAATGAGCACATGTTTGTCGTAAAAATTCTTGTTGAATAGCTGGAAAAGATTCTACAACAGAGACATAAAGAAAAAATATTGATTATGATTCAATTCACCTCGAGACTGTAAACCTTGAACGATCGCATTGCAATACATTGGTAACGATGGTGGTTCATAGTTTTCATGCTAAAACAGAAGTAATAATAAATACAAATAATTGATATCATACATTAAGGACAGTACATCAGGTTCAATTAATGGTTTTTTTCGAGATCTTTTTGGAGTACTTTTAATAAAATTTGTATTTTTTCTATTATCTTGATTGTCATTAATTGTTGATGGTGGAGATGGATCAGGTACAGGTGAATCTGATGTACTAGATACGTCAAAACTCATTTTTAGTCCATTTGGTTGATCAATGACTTGTTCATATGAAGTGAATTCAAAATAATCGGATAATTCAGGATCGTAAAACTGTATTCGAAGATGATTTTGATCGGGAAACAATAATCTAATTTTGTCGACGATTGTAACATAATTATTTCCGAGTATAGTCGTTTTACGACCTTGATGTTCGAATACAACTTTCATCTAAAAAAGAAAAAATAATTTGATTTAATGTTTAGATTAACAATGCAGTGTTTCATTTGTCAAGTCAGTTTCAACACACTCTCAGCATATGTGAAACATCAATATGATCTACACAGTCACGGCAAAAATTTTCGCCTTCTTTGTGCATGTGGTGCTTCGTTTAGCACACTTCGAAGCTTACAAACTCAGTGAGATTTTTGAATTTTCTTTCTTGATTCTATTGTTAAAAATTTATTTATCACTCATTTCTAGTTGGTACCGATTTCATAACGAAAACAACGAAGTACCTAGTCAAGACAAGCAACAAGATGAGAAAGAAAGAAATCTTGATAACGAATTACCAAACCCATCTAGTCAAGATGAATATTCAAATATGGATTGTAAACTAGAAACTAATGATCAAGATGATGAAGATGATGAAAATCTTGAAAATAAATCAATTAATAATACCAGTGATACGGAAAGTTTAAGCGAAGAAGAACAACTTAACGTATTCGAAAAGCGTGTGTTATATATGTTGCTAACTCTTCAAACAGTTTTCTACACATCGGAGGCGGCTATAGAGTATGTTGCTACAAGTCTCACAGAAATTTTTCTTCATATTTCAATGAATAATCTGGTTTGCAATTTGAACATAATTGAGCTCATGGATTCTACATCTTTATAATTATAGAATATCAATGCTCTAGCTGCCTGTATAGAACCACTCAAATCAACGCACATTCGAAAGAAAAAAGCCAAGAAGTATTTTCAATACATTGAACCTGTCAGTCGATCATATCAGGTATATCTTAAAGGATAATATATAGATAACTGTCTAGTTTCACAATAAAAATATTTTATCATTGACTAAAGAAAATTGAAAATAATAAATACTTATATGCTTTCTTCCTCTTATTTACAGACGATCACAAAAACCAAAGAAATTAAGAAAGTGAAGTATTCATTCGTGCCTTTTTTAAGCAGTCTTGAAAAATATCTTCGTCTGCCGGAAGTTCAAGCTGATCTACATCGTGCAACACCTGATTATAATCCTGACTGTATCCAAGATTTTCACGATGGAGCTTTTGCAAGAAATGACCCAAATTTTCGAAATTCAACTTATCTCAAAATTGAAATAAATTCTGACGATTTAACAATAACTAATCCAATATCTCATCGTGCTCATTCTATTTTTTTCTTCTACTGGTCCTTGCTGAATGTTTCTAGAGAAAAACGCTCAAAACAATCGGCGAAACGACTCATAGCAGCATGTCCAAAATGGGCGCGAAAGTACAATTCGTTGTGTCATACTATTGATGACTTTCTTGTGGGCATGAATACGCTTTCTACTACTGGTAGGGTAATCACTAAAGTCTTAAATAAAGTATCTTTCCATGTAATCGCATTTAGGTATCACTATTAATATAAATGGTAACGATGTCACCTATTTTGGTGGTTTATTCATATCACTTGGTGATTATCCAGCTCAAATGTCCTTAAATGGATTTAAGGAAAGCGTATCAGCAACTCATTTTTGCCATCTGTGCGACATTGAACACGATCACCTGGAAGAGGATATTTGTTATGATTTTTCAACTATTCCTCTAAGTGAATATAGAGACCGGTCAGTTAGAAATTATTCTTTGCTTATCTTAAAATATTCTATCACCTATATATTAGTTGTACCAACTTGGAGCTTGTCCAAAACAATGCAAAATCATACGACAATTTATCAAAAAGATACGGAATAAATAATAGAAGTTTATTTGATGCGTTGTACGATGTTACACGTCAATGTCCCTACGATGTGATGCACACTCTGTTAGAGGTAAAAAAAAGTGACTTGAAAGTTTTTCTAATTCGTAAAATAAGTTGTTTCTTTAAAAAAAACGAGATGATTAATTATTGAATGAGATATTGCTATTCCTAAAACGTGGCTAGGAGTAAGATTATGTGTCTTATTTTTTAGGGTGTGCTTCCTAATCATCTAAATGCATTTCTGGACTTCTGTGCAACAAAACGCTACTTTACGTTGGATGAATTTTGTCGAGAAGTTAATCAGTTTCCGTATAATGAAACCGAACTCAGCTCAAAACCACACCTCGAGATAACAGCAAATGAGCTAAAAAGGCAAAACAATTTGGGAATGCCACTTACATCAATGCAAACATTTCATTTATTTTTTAATTTACCCTTCATTCTGAAAAAACTGCTGAATTCATCGGATTTTCCTCAATACAAAGCAGTTTTAATTTGCGTGGACATTTTATCATTATGTTTTGCAAATACGATCAATGCAAATACGCATATTCAATTGGGTTATTTCATTAAAAAACACAATGATGAATTTAGAAAACTATATCCGGGCAAAATGAAATTCAAGTTTCATTTCATGACGCATTTTCCAACAATAATGAAAGATTTTGGACCTTTGCCTTATACTTCATGTTTAGCAACAGAAAGAAAACACCAGTTTTTCAAGGGCAACAAAGTTCGGAATTTGAAGAATCCTTCATTAATGTTGGCTCGAAGACATGAATTGTGGCTTTCCGTCAAGGATCATTCTCAAAATGGGTCACTCTCACATACTGCTCTTTCGAATGCTCCCTATGCCCAGTTTGATAATCATCAACCAATTTCCGATGGACAAATACAATTTATAATATCGAATATGCCCAATCTGTCCTTTAAACCACGTTCAACTCTAAAAGTATTGATCATAAACGGGTGCAAATACTCACAGAAGTCAATTCTAAATCTTTCGAAAGAACATTGGCCTTCGTTACCAACTGTTGGGAGGATCAAATGGATATTTTATGATGGGAAAAACTGTGCTTTCATCTGTGCCATGTACATGGTTAAAACCTATGTTCAACAGCTGCGGGCATTTGAAGTTCAAGAAACAAACAAAATAGACTGTTTCCTTCTCGATAATATTTATTACAAAAAACCTTTTAAAATAGTTTGTTCAAATGGTTCCCTATATTTCCCATTACATCCCTATGGTAAATCTTTTACGGTCCTATAGGTATTCTTTTCGATAATTTGATTTCTGGCTTTTCACATTACATCAATTGAAAATAAAACTTAAAACATTAAACTAAACTTACTTGTTCAGTATATTTAAAATTGAATAAGAACACTACGACGAATTAATCTATGTACACATAGACATAGAAGTGGACACCATTAAAATTTAAATAATATGAATATAGTCATAAACAGGAAATAATACCACCAGAAAATTATCAATGCAAAAATAATCATACACAGTAAATAACAAGATCAAAAATTTAATTGAAACAAATATAATCACTAATAGTAAATAATAACATCAGAAAATTATAACTACAATAATCATTGACAGTGCATAATATCATCAGAAATTTATCAATTTAATAATTAATCATATGCACTAAATAACACGGTCAAAAAAATTTACTTAATACGAATATAATCACAAACAGAAAATAATACTGTCAGAAAATTATCAATATCAGAAGAATCAGCACCAGCAACTAACACCGTTCAGATTTATTAAACCTAAAGAGAATGAAATTAAAGAAAAGTTATCATAAACTCTATTTCTAGTCTTTGTTTTGTTTTACACAATATGAGCAATAGGAATCGGATGATCCCAAGATGCATAAGATAGATAGCTTGAAATAAATCATAGAAGTCAACATTAAAAAAACCTACTTACCAAACCGAATATTGAAAATAAACGATTCAGGAAATACAGAACACCACGAAAACTTATTAATCTAAAAGAGCAAAATTTTTAATAAACATAACATATGCCACTATTTGTTTTTTTCTATTTAAGAAAATATAATACGACAAAGAAAGTAAACAAACAGAATCGCATTGGTCGACCGTACAGACCAACAGTTCATGTTGTATCAATGAGCTTAAAGAGATAGGGTGCGCTAATCGTTTTTCTTTAACAATTCTCCAACTTTATGAGTAAAACATAACTTTTTTTCAAAAAGAGAGTTGGTTACATTCAATAAGTTACAGAGTTTTCGGCTTTGGAGATCATACTATTTTAAGTACTGCTGATTGGACGATTACTTCACAAAAGAAAGTATTAAGACGAGCAAGACGTTTTCCTGTCTATCATGTTTAAGTGTCTAAAAACAAGACACACTTTATGTCTTATACATGTCTTAACAAGACTTTAGACGGAATAACCGTCTTGTAAGACACAAGGCATTTTTTACAGTGTAATATTTTTTCATTTCGCCATGTTGTAATTATGCTACTCTTCCATGTTAATTGTATTGTTCTAAAATTATATATATTGTAACAGTGTTTTCCTTTAGGTATTTCTTGATGATGACAATTGAAAAGAGAGCTCGACATAAACTGATAATATTCATCAAAAATAAACAATCAAATTTTTTTGTGTTGCAGTATTATATTTCTTTATTACTTATAAAATAATATTTTTCATTTGAACGTCCTAATTGTTCGAAATAAAATATAAGAAAAGAATTTATATGAAATAATATTTTCTGTTATTTCGATGTCCACAGCAATCTAAATGAAAGAAAAAAATGTGTAAATAAATACCTAAGATTATCTTTTTAATGCTTTTAGTAATGAAAATCATTTGTACAAAACTCTCAATTAACCGCGGTTAACCAGCGGTATGAATTTAACCGGCAGTTGAATGCGGTTACTCGACGGTTGAAAATTTAACTGTCGGTTGACCACGATTAACCGACGGTTTTATGTGAAACCACCGGTTACCGACGGTTTTAGTCAAGACCACCGGTTACCGCCGGTTTTGCCGCAAAAAAGACGACATGGGACATTAGTTGTTGAAGTTTCTTTGTCAGTGACATCTATCGTCTATCAATAAAAATATTATGAATCTTCAATTTCCATACATAAATCAATAATTGTTTATGAATTCTGATAACAAGAATAATTTCCAATAAGAACTACTAAATTCACTTTAAATAATAATAATATATTACTGATAAAATGTAGTAAATTCATTTACAGTTTCTGATATTCACATCGCTTTTTTAGGATAATTACTTTTATTCTCGTATTTTATACTTTATACACGGAAAATGTACAATGGACTAAAAAGACACTTCTTATAGATAATCCTGTCAGAAAAATAGCTTTTTTAAAAATTCTGAATGATAAATTTTTCATTAATGCTAGTAATTAAATTTCTACAATCGGAAGGAAGCTTGCAGTCGACAGTCATATGGATGTGGGTATGTCTGTGTGTTGAGATATGATGTATACCCATCCATACATACATTCACGCCCAAACGAAATTTCTTAGCAATTAATTAAACCATGATGAAAGCATAGAACTCGAATACATTTATCAAAAGAAAATAAAATGATTAAAAAAAGCCATAGAATGAAATTCTTCTTTATGAAAAATAAAGTTTGTCTATTTGGGTTTAATTATGAACTTTTTCATATCGGACAATTTTCAGGAAGGCTTCTAATGTTTGCGTATATTTCTTTGCCATTCTTATTATCAGGTTTAGTTAGTCTTGTTACAATCTTATAATAATCTTCTTCTGTACCAGGAAATCGAATAGAATATTTTTGACGTTGATTATGTTTTCCAGTTTCCACATTGATATGTATTCCAACGTTTTTATCATAATCAAATCTGAAAAGTTTACGTCCTTGTGAACTACCACATTCAAATCCTGTAACATATTGACTATTCCAATTTTGTTTTCCCCAATAAACTTGAATATCATCTGATGGCTCGCCTATCAATTTGAATGCTTCCTTTTTGGCATCACCCAAACTTTGTGCTTTAATAATTATTTCACCAGAAGCCATATTGTTTTCTTGTGATAGAATAATCTAGAAAAGATTAAATTTTAAATAGTTAACTAAATATTTATTATTTTGCTGAAGACTTCCCTAATATGGAATAGACTATTCATCTATTAAATTAATAATAGTTCACTTAAGAAAAATGTCCAATGTGCTGTCGGACGTGAGTATGCATCTTCTCCATCAAACTCACACCCAAATTTCTACCATATACATTTCAATGCTTACATTTCATCGTGTTTTATAAAATCAGAATGCTGAAGGAAAATTTCTGTAAAACCTCTTTATTTTAGTCAAATCGCAAGATGAGCTTATATCATCTTAAAATTTTACCAGTGTAATGATGTTCTTCTCCCGACCTAAATAATATGGAGGTAAAAGCAATGAATCGATTGAAATATTCCTTCTTTAGCTTTAATTCATCAGTTGTAAAACATCGGCATTGTAGTATATCATATGGTTATTCGCGGTCCCAGGTCGAACATTACTGTGCCCGTAAACGACCGTACACAGCCGTTTACGATGACGTGAACGGCCGTATCCGCCAAAACTACGACCGTATACGGGCCGTAAATAACCCGTTTGGTATGCGCCGTATTACGGTCGTGTGAGACCGTGTCGTGTACGGCGAAATACGACAATTGTTTACACCAAAATCTGTGCCGTAACACGGCAGTATTTTGACGAAGACGACAGTTTACAACGACCTAAACGATCGTAAATGAATGTAACCGACCGTTTTCGGTCACACATTTGGAAAGGATTTCACCAGGATTTCATTTGGATTTCACATTGATTTCACATGGATTTCATTTGGATTTCATTGGGATTTCACAAGGATTTCAAATGGATTTCATTTGGATTTCATATGGATTTCATATGGATTTCACTTGGATTTCGCATGGATTTCACATGGATTTCATATGGATTTCATATGCATTTCATATGGATTTCACATGGATTTCATATGGATTTCACTTGGATTTCATATGGATTTCACATCGATCTCATATGGATTTCACCAGAATTTCTTCAGTCTCTCAGTTCGATATGATTTTGATATCACCTGGATGCCATCAAAAGATTATCATCACTGCACATGCATTTTATATCGATTGCTTTTGGATTACGTCTTGGGTCTGATTCTGGCGACCGTTCTTCTTGATTCCAATATAGCTAAACTGTGAGAAGACTGCTACAATGTGCGTAAGTATCCTCTCATTGTACTCAGCGGCGCAAGTCAGACCCGTAACTACCGCCTTTACGCTGGCGCAGCCTTCTTTTTGTCGTAATTCAGATTGCGACGAGAGAAGAATAAACTTATAAAACCACTCACCTTTGGACACCTGTAATCTACTGGAAGGGCGAACTAAATCCTGATATATATAGAACTGTTGCTCCTAAAGAAAACGGTGAATGACTACTTGACCAAAATCTTATAGGAAATCCAAATTTTGAATGGGGAAATTTCTGCTTGAAATGAGAAGTGAATGGGTGAAAGACAAAGTAAATCCCGGTATAAATAGAGCTCTTGCTACTAAACAAATCAGTGAATGAATACTCGACCAGAAATCTTGCAAGAAATCCAGATTTCAAAAGTGGAATTTTTCGAGAGGAAAGACGAAGCGTACGGTTGAGTGGGAAAGTAAATCCTTGTATATATAGAGCTCTTACTACTAACCAAATCGGTGAATGAATACTCGACCAGAAATCTTACAGGAAATCCAGATTTCAAAAGTGAGATTATTCGAGAGGAAAGACGAAGCGTATGGTTGAGTGAGAAAGTAAATCCTGGTATGTATAGAGCTCTTACTACTAAACAAATCGGTGAATGAATACTCGACCAGAAATCTTACAAGAAATCCAGATTTCAAAAGTGCGATTATTCGAGAGGAAAGACCAAGAGTATGATTGAGTGAGAAAGTAGATCCTGGTATATATAGAGCTATTACTGCTAAACAAATCGGTGAATGAATACTCGACCAGAAATCTTACAGGAAATCCAGATTTCAAAAGAGGGATTATTCGAGAGGAAAGACGAAGCGTATGGTTGAGTGAGAAAGTAAATCCATGTATATATAGAGCTCTTGCTACTAAACAAATCGGTGAATGAATACTCGACCAGAAATCTTACAAGAAATCCAGATTTCAAAAGTGCGATTATTCGAGAGGAAAGACGAAGAGTATGATTGAGTGAGAAAGTAAATCCTGGTATATATAGAGCTGTTGCTACTAAACAAATGGGTGAATGGTTGCTTGACCAGAAATCTTCACGAAATTTGGATTTCGAAATCAGAATTTTTCGTGAACAGTATGTCTGTCGTTAACTAGGGAATCATGATGCGGATTTTTTTTGGTTACCTTTTCGGATCGTCAGTTGGGCTCCGATTGATACTTATGTGGAGTAGATAGGATGGAATTCAGTGAACATTTTGCTGCGAATTCAAAGCAATGACGGTGCGGGAATGAAGGAGTAGTATGTATGGGAATGTAGAGCGAGTTATGCCTTAGTTATTGGAACGAAGAACTGGGATGTGAATGTTGTTTTTCTAGTTTTTGTAGAGTGACGTCTTTCACCTGTCCTGATGTTTCGGAATATACTTTTTGTGTTGTGGTTCTAATAGCTTGAATGATGTGAATAACGTTTTCGGAAGTGTTTGTGAATATACTGAATGAAAATTGCATGAGATGTTTAGTGGTGCTCATTGTATTGGTAGAAATATGGTTTCTGGTACTAAATGATGGTATTGACAAATGAATGAGTCTGAGTTTAGTACGCTGAGTTGATGTGGAAAAAAATTCATTTTCTGGTACGTTTGTTAGTCGGAATATGTTTGTTGCCTTACTGGCAGGCGGAGTTTTGAAGCTGAGAGCTTTTCCACGTCTTTGTGTTATCTATGTTGAAAACAAGCTGCATGTTCATAAAAATGCTGTTTCATGAATCATGAGGTTAGATTCTCATGTATATGGTAGTTTCGACATGGTGATTCACTTTGCGTCGGAAATAGTTTTCGGAAGTTTTGAAGATAAGTGATAAATGCTGTTTTTCTGCATGAAACCTTGATTCTCGTTAAATTAATCACACTTCTATTCAGTGGAACAGGACTAAAGATTCATTGGGAAAAGTTGATTTCGTTTATAATTTTTATTGTGGAGACTGTCAAATAATATTTAGTTTATTTTTTCTTTTTTTTTTCTTGATATTGTGAGTAATGTTTTGGTTTAGGTTCTTTATGGTGCAACGATGAAAAGGAAATTACCAAAAAGCATTTCAATAGCAAAATGTAATATGTGTATATTAGACATATATTATGGTAATGGAAACGATGAAAACGAAGTTTCAATGATAGCTTTCAAAACTTGTGCAACGAAATACCAATTGTTGGTAGCATAATACTTGCGGCATTCGCTTCTTTCACCGAATTATAGATGCATTGATTTCGGAGAATCCACTTTGAGATTTATAGAATTTCGAGAATTTTATCCCTCGCTAACCACTCTAGAGTGAGGGTGCGGGTAAGGGAGAGAATGGCTAGAGGTAAGGGTAATGATGAGGTCGACGTTAATGTTAGCTTCTTACGACAGTAACTATGCTCATCATCACTTTCACCTTCTCATCCTGCCCGTCACCGGCACCCTCATTGTGAAATTACCCTGTGTGGATAGTATCAGTATTTTTGAAGAAGACCCCTATTTTCACCCGATAACCCCATTCAGAAATGGTACCATACGATAGAGAATTAAATTCTGCACCTAACACAATCATTTATGGAACCAGCACAGCTCTACAGGCGCATCCGGACCAGAAAAATACGAATCTGGTACTAACTTTAGGTATGTTAAAAAAAGAGTCAAATCTTATGAGAAAGTATGTTAACATAAAGAATTATTTAGTCTCGAGTTTAAAATGGTATGAGTAAATTTAAGTTGCGTAAATAGAGAATGCCTTTATTGACAATTTGATCGTATCTAGAAAGAAATCTGTTGAATCAAATAGTAACACAAATAGGATCTCATGTCTGTTATTGTGATTTTATCTATTATTAGCCACTTATTGTAACTATATAAAAGGTTTTGACGAAAAGTCAGATTAACAATCGAATAGTCATTTATACAATTTTAACAATCGATTAAAATAAATTAAAAATAATTATTATCAAATCCCATCCATCATTTAGATTCAGATATCATATTAAAATCAAATTAAAAATAACGTCATTATAATCTATCAAAATTCGATTATTAATCGAAAAATCTGTTTTAATCTGACTTTTCATCAAAATTTGTTTACATGGGTTTTACATAGAACAATATGGATTTCTTGGATCTTTGGCATTATAGTTCAGTTCATGTACGTGCAGTTCACCCTGCAAATTCAATTTCAGATAGGAGAATCTGTCAAATTTGATTTTGAGAAACATTATGTCTAGCTGATGCGCACTGAGCAAAGCAAAATCCTCTTTCGCAGTCTTTTTTACCAGTTATTCAAGAGATACAAGAGATACTGCTAATTAAACATTTCAGTTGCAATCTTACACAAATCTGCCTCAATTGAGAGACCCAATACAACAATATTCAGCATACTGTTTCTAGAGTGATCATTTTCCACACTTAATACACTTAATACAAAATCGTAAAATACTCTTCATGTGGACAGAAAATTTTTTAAACGAAATCCGAAAATTAACAATTGAAAATTTGTTGATTTATTGATAAAAATCTAAAGAATGTATATCTGAAGAGAATTTTACAAGGCAAGGGACGGTGTCGATCTCAGATTCTTTTATGAAAATTTGTACTATTTTTGATAGATTTGAAAAAAGTGCTTCAAATTTCGGTTCTTCTAGTAGCGAAGTTCTGATTTTGCCACTATGTCTAAGAAAAGTAGTTCGTCGTCGTTAACAACTGTGCAAGGACACTACAATAAAAAACGATGATCTTAGATCACACCGTTTACAGCTGGCGCTTACAACATCTTATGGTGTAATCCGAGTGTCGTTTAC